TGGCTCCGGGCAACAGCAGCTTTAGGAACCTCGGCCTGTCCAGGAGAGGGCCTGTCCGCTGGAGGGTCCCCGGGTGTGGAGGACGCTGCCGCAGGGTACACGGGACCCAGGGGCACCAGGGCTGGCCGGCAGGAACCCGCCGCCGCGGGGCAGTGGCACCTTCACGCTTCCCATCCAGCCTCTACCGATGCAGGGCCCCAGGGGCGCGTCACTCGCCCCGGCCGACCGCCCCTCCCTGCTCAATCCCTCCATGTCCAACCACTCTGCCCCCTCCCGCCCCCGCCTGCCTCCACCAGCAGGACTCACTGGCCACCCCCGTCTGGGGCCTCACAGAGGCGGTGGGGGTGGGGCCACCCCATTCCCGCCAGCTAGCTGCTGTCTGCTCCCAGAGGCCTTCCATGCTGACTCTGGCTCCTGCCTCCACCCTCCCCAGCTTCTCCTCTACCCTAGCACCTTGCTGCCACAGGGGGCCATGCCGCAGTCACCCCGCTCCTGTGACAGTGCCGGGGAGAGGACCTGCCCCAGGACAGCAGTCACCTAGGCTGACAGCTCGCAACCCCCACCTGTGGCGGGGGCCGGGGGGTCAGCGCCTCCCTCTGAGCCTGGAGTCTGAGGAAGCAGCTTGATGGGAACCCGGTACCATGGACAGAGGAACTGAACCTGTGCCTGCCGTGACTTGATGCAGTCTACCATTTGAAAAGTAACACTTAGAAACAAATGGAAAATGAGTCTCCTCCATGATTTCTTTTGCTCTAGAGAAAGATACCAATGTAAAATTTACCAGTCATCTAGTGAACATCCAATGCTCTAAATCCCGTGAGCGGAAATATCCTCTAACTTCTTCCGAGCAAACGGCAGCCGGTGACTCGGCGCGTTCCCCTCCTTGAAGAGGGAACCAGCCCCACCTTGACCCGACGGCCACGTGCCTGCTCAACAGCCGGCTTTTTTGTCTTACTCTCACCCTGGGCTTTTAGCAGACTCTCTGCCCTGACAGCATCATTCCACGCCACCTCTGTTTCCCCATGACGGTCTAAGCACCCCGAGCTGGGCCTTCCTGTCGAGACGGCCCGGCACGCCTGCCCTGGGGTGCCGGCCCCGGGGTGCAGCCCGCTCTCCACCGAGTGCGCCTCACCTTTTAACCTTCCTGCCGTACTCTTCAGAAACACACCCCCATCCCGCACCAGCTTCTTCCGTTTCAGATCCTCCTTGGCGAACATCTGGCCGCTCTTCATCCTCATGATCGACTTGCTGTCCGTCTTTGTATAAATCTCATTGAGACGCACTTTCTTCTCATAACTTGCCACTTTGCTGTCTACTGCTCCAATCACGTCCTTCACCAGGCTCAGGGAATGAGCCAGATCTTCCTCCTCTGCCTCGTTGTCTGAGAATGAGGGAAAAGCAGTTCTGTGGATCACAGACTCTTGAGACGGGGTGGGAGGAGGGGACTCCTACCTCTCCCCTGATCACCCATCCCCTTGGGGAGCGAGGCAGACACGTCAAAGGCCATGGGCCTGCCCCGCTCTGATACAATTAACACTAAAGGATGCTGGTCATTTCCAAGGATGCAAATAATAGGCAGTTACACGCTGAGTTCTACATAGAAGGAACCAAGCCGCACATACTTAGGGAGGAAGATGAGCACAAGGTTCCCACTCGCGCCCGTTTGACCTCGTCTTTCACGGAACTGCCAAGAGCAGGATTCGTGAAGAGCAGCTAGCTGATTAGTGAGCAGCAGGAGCGATTTTAGTACTGATGGGAGTGCTACGGGGAACCATCTCCCAGTGTGGAGATGAGCGAGCCAAAAGCAGCCCAAGCCACGGAACTAGCGAGGACTCAGAATGGTGGCGTGACACTTCAAGTCTTCACTCAAGGGGAAAACCTTACAAGGCAGCACACAGTGGGAGCAGGCGCACTGGGCTCACCTTTGGTGCACTGCAGTATTCTCTGGAGCAGAACTGGGTACTTGGTGATCCTCTGGGTGACAAGCAGTATACACTCGGGGATTCCAAGCCTCCTGACCACTGAGCTGCTCATCTTCTTCTGCAAAGGAGCAAAGTTAAGGTCTCACCTGCCTGAGGAAAAGGCTTCAGCGCGGCGCTGACGTCAGCACCTTCACCTTTACCTTCACGAAGGCCTGGAAGCGCTTATCCTTGTTGTAAAGGTCTTTGAAGTAGCTCACAGACTGGTTGTGCTGTCCACAGAACTTGCCGTACGTCTTCTTCAGGCGCTCTGCGTTCTCCCCTGAAAACTGCAGACAGCAGGCTCGAGTCAGTTTGCCAGTCAGGGTGCCAGACCTACGTTACTCTTCTGCACGGTTCCCAACCTCCCAGTGAACCCCAGGAGTGCGTCCTCACAACCCCCTGGAAGATCAAAACGATGCACAGTGCAGCAGTGCTGCAAGAGTCTGGCAGTGCCTCAAAAGGCTAAAGATGAAGTTGCCATGGGACCCCACAATTCTAGTACTCGCTGTAAAAACACGTCCACGCAAAAACTTGTAATTGCACATTCATGAGAATATTCATCACAGCAGCCCCAAAGGGGAATAAGCCGCCATCCTCAATCCTCAACGAAGGAGAAATGGACAAGATGTGAAAGCCACACAGGTGGAGTACTCGCCAGCTGTGGAAAGGAGTCAGGTGGTGACAGAGGCCACAACACTCATCAGTCTCGGAAGCATCATTCTAACTGGAAAAGGCCAGGCACCAGGGTACTGGCCCGCCTGAAGGCAACTCTCGGCGAGACCCGGTGCTCACGCACCCAGCACCCGCGGGCCCGTGTGGGAAGTCTGGGGAAAGGCTTGTGTTCCAGCAGGCGACGCTAGCCCCGACAAGGGTGTGGGCGCGCGGAGAGCCGAACCCTGATGTCCGCTCACCGGTGGTGCCACGGCAGCAGGCCGCGGCCAGCACCATGCGCGGGCGAGCAGCCCCTCTCGCAGGTGACCACTCCCACTTCCAGCCTGGGGTGGCGGGGCCGGGCCACAGCACCCCCCGCACCTGCACCGACGGCCCAAGCGCCAGCCTGCGCTCCTGCCGCGCGCTGACGAGGCATGCAGCCTGCACCACAGCTGCACTGGTGCTTGCAGCAAATACCTGAGTGAGTGAAGGGCGGAGGGGGGAGCGAATGATGAGGGGACCAGCCTGGGGCAGGTTTGATGTTATGTCCTCAGAATTATAGCAGTGACTTTTTTATTAAAGAGAATGTTCTAAAAAGAAACCACAAATATGGTCTATGACCAGCACATCTGAATCACAGTTTTTAGTCAGGCTGTTCCTGGACTAGCCCACTGTGCTGTGATAGAAATGCCAGCAACAGCCAACACTCTGTGGAGCATTTCAGAGAGCTGCTTATTCAATTTTCTTCACTCAGGTGGTCCTAGATAGATATGTTCCTGGTGATGCTGGCGAAGTGGTGTGACTTCCAAGGCTGGGCTGCGCTGTTTCTGCAGGTGGCACATCGCCCTGTCTGAGGGCGCCTCCTGCCCGCTCTGCCCGCACAGCTCGCCCTGGCGCACGGCCTCAGCGTGGGTGGCGACGTGACCGCGCCTTCGGGGCCCAGCCTCCCCCGCCTCCCGAGGCTCACCTGGCTGACGAGCACGTCCCCCATCCTCTTGATGAGAAAGTTCTTCTCGCTTTTATCCACCAGCGATTCCTTCTTGCGCTCCAGGATCCTCTGGAAGAACTGGCTGTGGATGCTGATGAGCTCCTCCAGGCAGGGGAACAGCTTCTCCACCGTCTGCTGCTCGAAGAGCAGGTCGGTCATCATGCCCCTGCTGTAGACGTCGCTCATGATCTTCAGCGTGCGGATGTGGTGCAGCTCTGTCTGCATCAGCTCTGCGGGCACAAAGCCACTCACTGGCCTGCACACTGCACCTGCCGCGGCTGAGCGCCCGTGTGGGCTGAGGCCCCACAGGGGCCACGCACACCTCGCGGGCCAGGCGCCAGCCCTTCCCCGAAAGCACTGGCGCCTCACTCCTCTGATTTCACGCTTTCCAGCCCTCCTAAGCCTGGCCTCCGGGGTGCTAGACCCTTTCCTATTACTATGCCCCGACTTCCTAGAGAGGGCGTGCGCTCGGTCGAGGTCCTAGAGCAGAGGACGACGCGCAGGGCACGGGACCTCCCCAGGACGGCTGCACACGTCAGCACTCATGCTAAGAGCGACGTTCGGAGAGACTGACGGAAACAGGCTCGGGCAAGAGAGAAGAGGACAGAAACAGGCTGTTTCCATGCAGAATCTGCGGAGGCTCATGCTCGACAGCTGGCGTCCCACTGCCCAGCGGACGACCAGCCAGGATGGCGGAGGTGGAGGGGGGGGTCGGGGCCGCGGTGCGGGGTCTCACCGTAGAGCACCTCTTGCCGTTTGACCACCTCTTTCCTCTGCTGCTTCAGGAACTTGCTGTCCACGATTCGGCTCCAGGACTCCGCTTCTAGCTGCTTTGATTCCATCTCAAAGTCTCCCATTAGCTGTCCCTCATTCATATCTGTACCTACTCCTCAAAATACAAAAAATGAGCATCAGAACCCTAGGCCCATGAACTCTAAGACGTCTCCGCCAAGCTCAGAAGCCAAGGCCTTCCTCGGGGCGCCGATCACTTCTGTAAGACACAGCCCTGCGCTCCGACAGGATACGGCCGAGAGCACGTTCCAGAGTCGGAAGGGAGGCAGCTCCTGGACGACCTGTGTCAAGACTGGTGAATGCTGCTGAACGTCGCCTCCGCCGTGAGCAAGACGGGGCTCCGGTGTGAAGCAGGAACTAGTAACCGAGGCCCCAAGCGCCAGCGCTGGGCGTGGGCACGTCGAGGGCACGGATGGGCCCTTCCCCGGGGCACGGCCAAGCTGGCTGGCGACACCCCTCGGCAGGCGGCAGCTGGCATGTCTGTGGGCCAGCTTGTTTTAACACAAGCGAGGCCCTGCAGAAAGCTGACAAGAACCTTCCCGGGGCATGGGGTGGGGGTGGGGGAACACCCTATGATCCTATTCGCAATATCCAGGGAGTGACACCCCCCGGCCCCCCGCAAAGATGCATGAACAAGGCCAGGCCCCGCTGTTCTTACCCTCGTCAGTAAGAGATTCTGTGGACTCATTGACCTTGCTGATTTTATTTAGTGAGTCTGTTGAATGGGACAGGAATTTCCAGGTGTTTGCCATGTTCTCATCACTGCCGACCCTGGAGACAACACACACACCACAAACACATTCTGATAAGCTGTGGACTGTTTCTGAAACAAGGACCTTAATGTGACGGCTGCTGTAAGTACCACAGGGGTTGAACACATGCTACTTCTGCCAGGCTCCCAGTAACATGTAACACGAACTGTTAGTGCAGGGCGGAGGCCTTTAACACCCCTGCGGACTTGAACTTTCTGAGCCCTGGGATTTTTTTTTTAACGACAGGTAGCCAGAGAAGCTCTCTTCTTTCTGGTGCACATATTACATTAGCTATTTTGCTTGAAACACTGCCAACCTCTTCATCAGTTTCCCCTGTTCCCTAAATAAAGCCTGAGCATTTACACAGAACTATATTCTTTGGACTGACTTAATCCTGACTCACCATCACAGGACAAAAGCAAGTAAGACTCACTTAAAACTCCCAGTTTTATTTGAAGGCCAACTTAAAGTCATCATGCAAACAAATTCTGCTGACAGCTTTGAAACAAAGGCCTTTGGATCGTGAAAATGCAAAAACAAGGTAAAAATACCTGAAGCTTTTGCGTTTTGTTTCTGTTTTTAGGAAAACCATGCCCTAGGCTGCCCTGGGGCTCTGCGTCCTACAGCTCAGACCTCGCTGTGGCCTGGGCTCACGTGTGTGGGGGCAAGAGGGCTCTCGAGCGACACCTGAGGCGCCTTCTTCAGCCTATGGCGGGGCAGCGAGCTCGGCTGCAACAGCCAGTGACAGCGCAATGGCCTGTGCCAGCCTCCGCAGCGGGCTCCCAGTCTAGGCCACGCCGCTTCGAAGGGACGAGGAGGAGCTTGGCACGGAGGCGAGTGGACCTCGCCGTGGTTACAGCCACGAACCTCTCCCGTGAGACCTGCTTAAGAGCCCGGGGAAGGAAGGAACGCAGGTTTTAAGAGGAACACAACAGAAACAGCTTTCTGAGCCAGCAACAACAAAAGCCACCTGAAGACAGAAGCGCCGCCCCAGGCTGCAGAATCACCCTCTCCACGGGCAGTTCTTACTGTGGCCTGAAGAGGAGGTGGCCGAGGACAACCGGGCCGCGGGAGGAGGCGCCGCCGCACCGTGGCCACGTCGGCACGCGCCCCCGGTGCCACTCGGGCGCCGCTCTAAAGGGGGTTCTCTGAGCCCAGTGCCGCAACTGCGCCCCGACACCCACATGGGAGCTGCTGTCTGCAGCCTCCCACTTACCCGGCAATGTTCTGGATGGAGACACTTTTGGAGAGTGAGACGCCTTGCGGAGACCGTCTGTGAACGAACAGCGGGGCGGCGGCGGTCTCCTCGGCCAGGAGGACGGCGGAGCGGGGGCGCTCCTTGGGCTGGGAGGCTGCGAGGGCAGAGAGCACCAGCGTCACTTCTCGCACCCTGGCAGGGCTCACTCACAGACCGCTCTTCAGGCTGCGTGGGTGGGGACGGCCAGCAAGTCCGCAGCGGCAGTGTGGACGGGCCCCTGACCCGGCGGGCCCCCCTGGGGGACTCACTCCAGGAGACACGCTTGCATCTGTCTGAAAAGGACAGCTGCGCCGAGTCACTCCACGCAACCCTGGAGGCTCAAGTGGGAGCCAGGACTCAAGGGAGGAGCAGCCGGTGAACAAAGATGGCGGCGCAGACGCCAAATCCCACTGTGGCTTTCACAAATGAGGCGTCTCGACCAGCGGACTCAGGTCTAAGTAAGGGGCGGGGGAGCGGGGGCAAAGTGTGTGACAGGTCACCTCTAAAGCTGAAAGCAAAGGGAAGATCAATCCAAATTGGTATTTTAATAAACGTTGGGGAGAAAAGAATCGTCGATGAAGAATGGTTACGTGGACTAGGATGGGGTTCAGGCAGTGAGGGTCAAGACTACGGACACTGGCAACGAGACGGTTTCAAGACGAGACTGGAAGAACCTTGGGGTGAAAGGAGGCCCACAGACAACCGCAGCACGTTCCCTGGGAGCGAAGCACTCTCGGGCGCCTCAGACACGCGGCACGCTGGCCTGGGCCTGGGCCGGGCTCCACAGGCGCCCGTCTGCCCACTGTCCCTGTCCAGCTGGGAGCGCAGGTCGGGGCCGAGGACAGACACGCGTCTGACGTCACGTAGCTCTCACACCGCGCATCTCTCCTTCACGTGACCCAAGAGGAAACGCGGGCCTGAGGCAACGCTGCGGAGACTGCGCCGGCGTCTCTGGTGGCCGGACACTGCCCCGACGCGCGTGTGCCCTCTGTTCATCTCAGACACCCCGGATGCTTGCATATTCGTGGAAACTGGCCCCACTGTTGACTTCCAGGCCCATTCCTACACCGGTGACACAGCGAAACGCCAGAGCACGCGAGTGCCACGCACCACCCCCTCGCGGCCAGCAGGACATGGCAGTGGGCTGCCCCAGCAGCACGGGGCCACCCTCAGGCTCAGCAGGGAAGTCAGGGTGCAGACGAGGTCCAGCAGAGGGGGACGCACGGGCTAGAAGGACGGTAAGGCCAGGGAGGTCAGCAAGCAAAGGGGACCTCCTGGTGGGGGATGCACAAGGGGCGGCAGACACCACCTTGGAGTACTGACGCGAGGGGACAGGCGGACAACACGCGGGGGCCGCGCCCCAGACCGGGCAGCTGGGCAGAGCTCAGCAGTGACAGGAACAGCTTCACCTGGCAGGCGGCACAGGGAGGGCGCGGGGCCAGCCCTGCCGTGTCTGAAGGAACCCGCCCTCCGGGCCGCGGTGGGGCCGCCCGTCCGACCCTCCCGGCGCCGTCCTCACCCTTCTCCAGAGGGGAAAGGCAGCGCGGCGTGACGGAGGTTTACCCCTGAGGCCTGTGTGGGCCCCCCCGCACCTGGGCTCCTGGCCCCCAAAGGTGGCAAACGCGAAACAATACTGTCACGGGGCTGTGGGACTCTGTCCGTAAACAGGTGTTCACCAAAACAGGTAAATGTTACGTTATCAGATTTCTGCAATAAGGGAAAGAACTTAAGGACGATGAGACATCAGTGAGGCTGGTGTGGGCAGATAGGGGGGTCCCCGTCGAGGGTGGGACCCACAAGCCCAGCTGCCTCCTCTGAGGGGAGCTCAAGCGGGGAAAGGCCGCGCAGCCATTCTGGAACTGTCTGGAAGGACTTAGAGAAATCACGGTCTCAAGTTTGCATCTGTCAGACCACAGGGCAGAGCGACGAAAACACAGGTCACGGGGCTCCACCCTTGGGGTTTCCGATTTAGCAGGTTTGGGGAAGGCCCAAGAACCTGTGCTTCGATTTGACTTAGGAATCAGACTTTGGAAAGACACTTCTGCAGGCAAAATCTCACACAGGTTTTCCCCGAGCCGACGAAGACGCGCTCGCGCGCTTCACGGCGGCAGGTCCTCGGGGCCCTGCGCCTGAGTGTGCCGCGGGGTGGGCACGGAGGAGCTCCACAGCACAGCCCCAAACAGCAGCCGCGTCACAGCGACGTCACGCCGCCAAACTCGTGGCAGGACAGCGCAGACGGACGAGTCGCCACCGTCTGACTTCAATTCAACATGTACGACAGACCATTTCAAAGACGACACGTGACTGAAGATACAGCAGACCAGAAAGACCTATAGTGAATACACACCGAGCAGGCTCTGGTGGGGAGAGGACTGAGATGAAGGAAGAACGGAAGGGAGGACTCAGCAGATCAAGGGGCGCCTCCCTCGGGCAGTGACGGAGCGTGGTGGGCACTCAACTTCACGCATCACCCGAGGCTCCCGGACAAATCGCACCGTGGTCTGAAGAGCTAGGAGACTACAGTGTCACCGCTTAGACATACTGGGCCCGGGCACTGCCTCAAAAACGCAATTCTAAACCCTCCCAAGAGGGCTGTAGGCGAGGTTTCGCGCCAGTGACCCTGCAGCCTCCTCTGGCCGACCACGAGTGGGCGTTCGCACCTCGCAGCAGTGCAGAGGAGCAGTGCGGACACGCGTCTGGGCCCTGCCCAGGGTGCAGGTGGCACTGGGGAGGCGGCCGAGCCACTTACCCTTGTTTCTCATGATGACCGTGGGCAGCGATGACGTGTCCTGCGCCTGGAGGGTCCCTCTGGGCTGCTGAAAGGAAGGAAGGAAATGCGCGAAGCCCATGTTTACCATTAGCCCTCGGTCACATTCCAGGAAGCCTAAGCTTGGAAGGGGCCGGCCGGCTGCTCCTACTTGCCGGCTCTGTCCTCAGCATCTCTGGCCCCGCCCCAACACCCCCGAGAGTGGACCAGCCCATGCCACAGCAGCAGCAGCACGTCCTATGAAGAGGTCAAGACGCCGGTGCCGTGGGCCCAGCAAAGTGGACACAGGAGGACGTGACACGGGGGGCCTGCCCATCCTGGCTCAGTCTGCGGCTGCTCAGCCCGCCAGCCCTTGCCAACCAGCCCCAAACCGCAGGGGCGGAAGCCAGATACCGGGCCCGAGCAAGGATCTGGTGGATAAAGCAGTCTGGCCTCGAGGCTGCAGGGCGGCTGCCCCACTGACTTCCCAGTGGGGAGCACAGCCTCCATGGGCCGGGTACAGACCCAGCCCTCTGTGCCCCCGGCCAGCGTTGCCGAGTTGAAACCTCACACACCAGCACACGCAGCTGCAGCAGCGGGAACTCAGCAAAACGCAAGTTCCTGGCCCCAACCTAGACTTTCAAACTCCCGGCATGGGACCAGTAAGCTGTTTTGGAAGAGCCCTCAAGGTGACTCTGAGTTTGAGGCCACTGCACTGGACGCACTGGACGCACGCGTACATGGCCTTGAGCATCTGTGCAGACCGGCTGGGCAGCGTTCTCTGACAGGGACAGAAGACCACCAACCACATGGACGGCCCCTGCCGAGGGCCCCTGGCGGGCCCAGCCTCGCAGACAGTGTGCATGCCCGGCCAGGTCCCCGGGCCACGGCACTTACTAGCTGTGTCCTGGGCTCACAGCCCCGTGGAGAAAAGTGCCGACTGTGGGCAGGATGTGCCTGACCTGACACCCCTGGCCCTAGGCCCCATTTCCACCGGGTGCCCTCACGGCCCCAGACGAAGAGGCCAAGGTGTGAAAAGCAAAGAGAGTGTCAGACACAGCGAAGAAACCACCTTCAGTAGCAACACAGGGACACTAAGACACAGAAACGGGCATCTAACACCGGGAAGTCTGAAAGCACTTCATTTTCTCTAAGTCTCAAATTCCCAAGTTAAATTGGCCACTTTCTAGAGAAAAAAAATTTGGTTATTTTGGTCTCAAAGCTTATACCAGGTGATCATAAAATTAGCAAAACCCTCACCTCAGCTCTATCACTTCCTAAGACTTTACAGCTTAAGCCCCTTCATTTAGCCCTTCTCTTACCCGGAAACTTCTTACCTTCATTTTGACCTTTGTACAGGAGGCCAGATTCTCCCGGCAGCCTTTGTGGACAAATGCATTGCAACCTGAAACGAAGCAAACCCAAGGGAGGTCAGCAGAGCCCATGGCCAGGAGCCGCCAGCTGCGAGCAGGGTCTCCTGTCCAATCACGCGTGTCTGAGTGAGACTCGATGTCGCTCACAGACTGCAGTCCTCTCCTAGGGAGCCAGCCTGTGATGTCACTTGGAGGAGGGAAACAAGAGCAGATGTGATTTCTGATTAACAAAAACTAGAAGTCCGGAGCTCAGGCAGGAAGCTGACAGGATTCTATCTGTGTCCGCCTAAGTCAGTCGTGAGTCTAAGTCATGAATAGACACAAAAAGAAGGTCCCTGTTGACAGGTGCAGTGTCCTTCGACACTGAGCTTTTCAAAACCCACCGTGTCCAGGGAGGCCATCAGAACTACCCACAGCGCTTTGGGAAGCTGGACTTGAGAGGGCGCAGACGCCCGAGAGACCATCCTCGGAGAGGCAGCCGAGGCCAGTTTGCCAAGCACACTCAGTCCCTGCTGTGTGCTGGGGTGAAGGCCCAGCTCTCGGCGCCTGGAGGGCCTGTGCACCCTTACTCTGTGCGTCACAGAACAGAACGGAGCCGGGCCGCCAGAGGTCAGGCAGAGCAGGCAGGAGAGCTGGCCGTGGGGCAGCTCAGCCTTCATGAGCAGTCCCCCCCCCCCCAGCACACACTTCCCTAATGCCACCAAACACGGGCAGGGAGGTGGCATCACGGCTTCCCCCTCCCGGAGGACTGCAGGGTGGGGCCCACTCATCCACCCACTGCCGGGTCCTTGCGCAGGCCGACTCACGGCACCACGGACATGTGGGTCTCAGCCCCTCGCCTGTTTGTGCGGAGTCCAGTGCCCCGACGCCTGATGCATTGTGAACTGTCAGCTTGGTAGCCTAAAGGGAATCCAAGAACAGCCGTCAAACTGAATGTGACTGGGGCCCTGGCTCCACTAGCTAGTGAGACTGCAAATGCCTTCTCCAGAAGCCTCCGGTTCCTCAGCCATAGAAATAAAGGGGGGGCCACCTTGCCCACACTCTTTCTATTTGGGTTTCAACACGACACTTCATGCTCCTTTTCTTGCAAGGGTAACTTTTCAGAGTGGATTCTGCTGAACTGTTCCCTAAGTTTCATGCTACAGAGCTGCTGTTCCACTTTAAGTCGTCTGAGTCATCACCAGGAGAGACCTGAGGACATGTTGGGAGGACGTGGTCATCACCAGCTCTACCGAGGAATGCGGCTGGAGCCCCCCACAAGCAAGACCTCCAGAAACACTGCTTTCGTCAACAGGATGGCCCAGACTTGGGTGAGCTGTAGGCCTGGGCTGGGGTGAGGCTCTGCTTTGATTTTTATTCCTGGCCAGTCCACACTTCCCACCTAGCCAATTCTACTCCAGGTATCATTCACAGTCTGGTAGTTTTTGGCTTTAATAAGCCAAGAGAGACATTCAAGTTCATTTACAAAAGCAGCATAGGAACCTTCTCTCCTGGAGAAGATTCCTAAGGAAGCAGGCAGGGGACAAGTCCGAGGTCCAGGTCCAGCCCCCGCTGTTGCGACCACTGCTTTCCCCTCCAGGAGCCTGGCAGGCTGCGAGGGAGCCACCCTCCCTGTCAGCTGTATGGGGTGCTCGTGTTGTGAAGCTGCTGCAGAAGGTACAGCGAGTGGCCAGGCGCTGCAGAGTATGATGCCAGGGTTCTCAGCGACCCCCTTCCCAGGGCCTGAGAGGGCTGTGCAGAGAGACCCCTGGGGAGTGAGTAACTCATTGCAAAGAGCAAAAGGAGACATGTCAAGCATGTTTTCTTAAGAGCTGGAAACCACTGGTCCTCATTACTTTGCCTGGCTCCTCACTAGAAGGATACATTTTGAAAGAAGCAACAGAGAGAGAAGTAGAATCACAGATGGACTCCACACAAGCCCCTGTGAGGCCAAGGCCCTATGGCTGTCCGTCCAATGTGGGACTCAGACACCAGGTCTGACCGTCCTGCCTGTGGCTGAGGCCTGGAGGCCCGCTGGCCCCTGGTCTCCCAGAGAGTCGACAAGGCAAGTGGGCCGAACCATTAGTCTCTATAGATTTGTGTTAGAACACTTTTGGCTCCTTGCTTCCCCCTAAACCTCCCATGGCTCCCCGACATCTTAAAGGCGAAGCCTGAGCTCCGCAGTTTGGAAAGGCCTGTCACCATGGCCCCTTACTCTGCCCACCTACTGAGCTAAGGAACTGGACCCACAGGGCAACAAGCGTGAGGAGGATAAAGGAGTGACGGAACTACGCTGGGGTCCCACGATGCCGGGTGCTCCTTCCCCATCCCAGCACTACCCTCACCCCGAAGGGGCGGGCTCCCTGTCTGTTCATGCAGAGTTGGGGCCAGACAGCCACCTGCCCCTGGGCAGCCCTGGGCCTCCTGTTGTCTTTCACAGGCCCTGCTCAGCAGGGCCTTTCGAGTCTGCCTTCTGTAAGCAGCCCCCTTCCCTCTCAGAGCTTCGCCTGTTTACCTTCAGAACCTCTTGTTCACCCCCCCGTTCTCACACAACATGTGCCTCAAAACAAGGGCGAAGAGCATCTGAGGCAGACTAACGGGTCCCCACAGAGGACAAAGAAAATCACACTTTCTGAAGTGAAGTTAGATCTAGAGCCACGCCGGACACCAAGAGTTCCTCACAAAATGGGAAGAGAAAGACCACGAACCCAGAAGGAGCGTATGAGGCACCGGAGCTGCTGGACACCACGAGCCCCGCGGCCGGAAACACGGCCCGCACGCCGCAGCACAGGTGTGGGCCTCACGGCCCCGGGAGCCGAGAGTCCTGCACACCCTCTCTCCATGTTGAGGGGTGGCCACATGAACGCCGCATGATCACGCACCACTCCGCGTTAGTAGTGCTTAACAGAACTACCACCCGGAGTTCTAGTATCTTTCCAAGACTTGAAAGTCCTTATAGACATTTCCTTTAAAAAAGTCAACCACCTCTGTGATAAACTAAACATTTTTCAGTTAGATTTTACTGTCTCATAATCCAGTCACAAAAGCACATTTCTCCCGGCTTTCCTGAAAACCAGTCATGATTCTGGCACCGGCGCCCACAGCGGCGGTGTGGAGCTGCGGAGGGGGCCGGCCATCCTGACTGCGGAAGTGACCGAGTGGGCTGTGGGCAGTCTCGGCCCACGTCGCATCCTTCCTGTCCTGTCTCCCCCACAGTTGTGTCACCCTGTACAGAACTGGGCAATGGTGACTTCTGGGGGGTGGGCACTGTCGCTTCCAACAGACGTTCACAGTAACCCAGCTCTCAGGCCAATGTTCGAAACGGAAAAAAACTCCAACTGCTGAATCATAAAAACAGAAATATTTTTTTAAGCGTGCCTTTCTAGTAAGCAACTTTTCACATGAATTTGCTTTTTACCTAGCATGTCCCCAAGCCCGCAACCAGATGAACTTTACAACGCGGCCACACGTCTCCGCGGTAAACAGCTCACAGAGGTGTCTGCTCAACACTCGCCAGCGTCAACTTGAAAAGGGTCCGCTCGGCATCACAGCACCGTCTGCGTGTTGGGGGTGACGAGGCGCTTCGGCCCCACTGACATCAGCCCACGTCATGAGGTTTAAAATGCAATGCTCTGCTTTGGGAAAGAGCCGGTTTCCAAGAACATGCAGCTGAAGACAAATCCAGGACATTTCAAGCTCTTCTGCCACAGACCATACCACACTGTTAGGGAGATCACAGAACTGGCCTGCTTCTTTTTTTCTTTTAAAGGTTTCCTAAGAGCAGCAAGCAATATGCTTTCATTTTCCAGAGTTCTTCAAAAAGGTCTCAGCACAGTGGCTTATGGAACAGAGCCTACCCTAATTAGATTCCTCTGGACTTAAACAGCTCAACCTTCCACTTCTTCTTTTTTCAGTGCAAGGAGGCGTCAGAAAACACAACATGAAGCAAATTCACCTGACTGGAGCCTCCATTTGCTGGCTGCTGCCTGCCGAGCCTTCGCCTCCAACCACCACGGCTCATGATCCTTGGGGAATGGTTCTCGGGCCTCTGGGGCTAGCTTAGGGGCCTCGTGTGAGCCAGGCTCGCCATACTCCAGCAGAGTGCTAAGGCTCTGCAGAGGCCGCAAAGACACTGCTGTGAAGCAAGGGCCCTTCCCCACCCCTCGAGATGGCCGGCAGGCAGGGGCCTCCCCAGGCTTCAGACATGAGCAGCAGAACGGATGTGAAGAAATTCCTGACTCCTCGCGGACAAAGGCTGAAGAGTCACTTGTAAGGACAGAAAGATGTAACTTCTCCCTACCGTTCAAGTCTAATCAAGAAAACAAAACCACTGATGTGCAAGCACTTTAGAAATCCATGTTCCACATTTTCTCTACAGCTTCTTGTTTAAAATCTTTGGGGCGTATGAGGCACTGCCTGTTTCGACTGACAGAGCCTAGAGACAAAAAGCATCTGTGATGTTTTCCGTAGCTGGTATGACCACAGTTTGACAAGCAGAACCAGAGGGAAGCCACCAGAATGAGCCGAGTCATCTCAGTTGGGGGCCCCTCGCAGCAGTTTCCTTAAGAACAGTGATCAACACGAAGGATCGAGCTGAGCGTGCTTGGCGGGACAAAGACCCGGTTCCCATCGCCTAGTTCTTCTTTTACCTCCTCTCCTCTAAACAGCAAACTTCCTTTCTTCAATCAGCATATGTATTTTACCATCTCATATAAGCAATCAACTCTAAATGCCAGAAAACTGTTTATGTACAGAGCTGCTTTTCCAGATAAAATCCAAAGTAAAATCCAACCATCACACACATGCTAAACTCATTTTTCCTACTTAGATAGCAGCTGGTCGACTTGTTTATTTTTTTTAATCAAGAGAAACAACCTACCACAAAAGTACTCAGAAGCTGCTAACACAACAGAAAATAAATCAACAATAATCCCAGTATCATTTTACATCTGCTTAACGCAAACAAAACCACTGGAAAAATCCCAAAGCCCAAACATAACAGATTCCTTACTCTGAAGGACTTCACCGAGCGTTCCCGAGGCCAGATTATCTGTGGGATCTGGAAAGAACAGCTGACTTTGCAAAACTGCTGAAGGAAGGACGGAAAGACAGCGCTTCCCCTCGTCACCCAATCCTCAAGCAAGAGTAGGGTTTTGTGGGGGGACGGCCTGGGCAGGGAGGAGACGGATGCCAGGTTCCTACTAAGTTAAAGACTTCAATCTGGGCCTGCATCAGTCTTTCTTCCGCAGCCTGGCTTCCCTCTCCTGGGCTCAGGCGGCCGAGGAGCCCTGCGGGCTCTGTGCCCCTGTCTCCGGTGGGTGAGCACGACCGTCTCCTCAGGCTCCTCCAGACTCCCCTGCCACCAGCGGTTATTTCGCTGTCCGGCGTGCTCCAGTTTAGTCAGGACACTGGCTTGTTTAAAACACCCGGTCCTACTGACTCGCTAAGCTTCTGCAGGAGAAGGCCCTCCTACCATGACTGAGGACACGTGGGAGACAGGCACAAATCAACACCTGCCATCATGACCCAGCTCCACTCTGGGCTCTGGTTGATCTTTCTAAACCAGCGTCAGATCTAGCTGAGCAACTGCTGGGTGGTATGAGGCTGCAGAGGTCAGCAGAGTGGCTATGCTGTGCCAAACGGGGAAGCTAGGAGTGCAAAGGCTTTCTAGGAGGCCAGTGGGTAACTGGAGGGATGCACATTCCTGAGACTCCCAAGGAAGACCTTGAGGATGAGGAGATGGAGGGCAGGGAAGAGATCCCAGTCCCGACACACTCACATTTTCCACTTCAAGGTGGCAGATGGTGCTTCCCGCACACAAACATCACTGCAGGCTGTTCTGCAGGAAGCCAGCGAGAACCAGCCATTACTTTTGTGCCTCTGGGAAGAGGACGACATGCTGCTCCCTGGCTCTCGAGCCTTGCCTTTCTCCTTTCTTTATAAAAACGGCGAGCTGCACCGTCACGTGGGAACCTTCAAGTCGGCACTAGGCACTGAGCCTATTTCAGTACTGCCTCTGGCGTCCAGCAGCGACGTGCCGGTGCGATGGCACGCAAATCGCAGATGTACTTTTGAGCCATATACGTGTATTAGGGTAACAATCAGGCCAGCCCTACCAGACAGTTAATTTTTGTTGTGTGATTCTTTCAGCTTGAATTTCAAATCCACTCATTCCTTTTTGCTGGGCGGGTAACAAGCAGCTGGCGAGAGGCCAAGCTCTCTGCAAACGAAGGGCCGCGGCCGAGGAAGACAGAAGGCGGAGGTGGCGGGCTACCCCCACGTTTGCAGGACAAACATCAGGCCCTGCGTGCCTTGGGTGACTTGGGTGGCCAACCTGCTGTTGTACTGGTTTTTTACTTTTAAAATGTCTTAAATGAAATATTCTTACATTGCTGGTCATCAAGTGTGAAAAATACTTAGTATAGATTTTTGAGCTCTTTTTTTTTTTTTTAACACTTACTCTCAGAATCACTGAGGACCAAGAAGCTGCTTGCGAGGAGACACGGTGTGAGGACCAGCAGGATTCAGACGCGTGGGCCACACACATCCGCGGGCCGGCTCCTGAGCACAGCGTGGGCTGCTGTGCGGCCCTGGACCTGGAACGTCTCCAAAGGTCTCTCATACCCTCTCCAGAGGCAGTGGGGGCATTTGGGCATGTGACAGGCACAGCACAGCAGTGCCATGGGCTTGCAGCCCTTGCGCTGTGCTTCACCAGGCAGGGGGCTAGTGAAATCATTTCTAGTAACACTTAACAGGAAGAGGGAGCAGAAGGCAAAAACGGGCTTGGGACGCCTGCGTCTAAGAGGTGCTTTCATTCTCCCGCATCCGACTGGGCATTTTGGCATCTGACAAATAACAAGCCAGGTGCAGGTTTGGCTGTCGGTCTTTAAAGTATGGCGTAGAGGACAGACTACGGTTAAGGAGAGCCAAATTCCAATTATTTTTTAACCTAGCGATAATGTATATACGAAATACCTACGGCAGTAAAAGATGAAACTGATTGGACGTAGACAGCTTTTTCCAAAATGAATTAACTGGAACACTCACTATAACACACTCACTATAACCACAAATCAATGGTTTTTAAGCTTGACAGTCTCCAGAGTGTGTGGGCCTTTGAGGAAAGACTTCCACCCCTTCCATCCCCAAACCTTCGCACGACGTCTCGCATCACAATTCAGAACTGGGGGTTGGCGGCATCGGCTGTCCGGCTTCCCGTCAGGCTGGCATGACCAGAAACAGCCTCAGGGCACGCGCCTCTGCCTTTGCCAAGTGGACAGTTCCCCAGCAATAATTCTGCTCTCGGTCCGGTATACTCTTAATCAAATATCACCACATCTTGCTCTTTTACTGGAGACCAGCTGACAAATAACCAGGAAAACCTTTGAAAGTATCAGTGAAACAATGTTTATATTTAGTTTTAACTCACATAAATGATGTGTAAGTATGTTCTTAAAAATTCACAGAGGCCTAACATAAAATCTTGGCACTCTCCACTTCTTGCTCTTAATTTCTCTCTTCAATTGTCAATGGTTTGGAGTATATCCATTTGGACATTCCTCTCTATTTAGGGAAACAACTACTGGTCAATGCTCTGCTTACTCTAAGTGGGGATCACACATACAGCTCTGCTGCGCCTTCTGCCTTCCCGACAGATGTGCAATCTAGCAGCGCCGATTGCGCATCTGGCCCGGCCTGTGCTGCGGGCCACTCCCGTCTCACGCTTGGGACTGGGGGCTCAGCGAGGCACAGGCACGCCCCTTCTTGATGTGTGGTCTCGGCCGTGCGACGTCGGAGGGGCCAGAGCTGATGAGTCACAGCAAAGGTCTGACACAGAGTCTTCCGTGTCAGGGCGCCTTGCTTTGAAGGGCACACTTCCTGACCCTGTTCTAGCCAATTCTTCTAGCCACATTCTAGCATGGATCCCAATGTCTCCTCAAATGACCACACTCCTGTGGTTGATGGATATTTAGGTGTCTCTTCACTCTTCTGCATCATGAATATCGCTGCAATGAGTAAGCGCCAAGTGATAAGTCACCAAGATTTCTAAGATAATCACTTGTACTCTCTTGCGGAAGCCAACGGAAGTCACCTTCCTTCTTCACAACAGATAAAAATGGCAGCAATGCACTGAGGATGCAGAACACTGAGCTGCCTGAAGAATGTGGTGGGCACGAGTTCTCTGTAGGTACGAGACACGGACTAATTTCTGTTAAATGCACACCTCCCGTGAGCACGCCGCTCTTCAGGGAGCAGTATTCCAGGCCTGCGAGGCTGCCCCAACAAGCTAGGGTGCGGACTGCCAACGCTGGCTGGCCTCCCACGAGTGAGCCCCGTCAGAACCCCGCTCCGCGACAGAGACGCCGGGGGCGGCCAGTGACGGCTGCTTGCGCTACAATCGCATGGGACTCACCAGCGTGGGAGCGGCTCGTGACTTCCTGCGAGCCGCACCACGGGGAGGACGCCGCCGCGTGGGCCCCTGCCCACGGACGTGTGGCGCCTCAGCCCAGGGCCCCCACGAGGCCTCCCTCACCCTCCTCACCCTCCTCCCCCTCCTCCCCCTGAGTGGACGAGTAACAAACGGATCAGAGCCGCACCCCGGAGCGCGAGCATGGCCAGCCAGCCCCAGCGGCCGGGCCGGAGGGCGCACTGTGCTGTCTGCGCCTTCTCCTCTGGACAGAGAGCGACGGGCGCAATTATTACTGCGGTGACTCTGAATCTGCACCAATGAACTTTAGAATTTTAAGTTTCAACTAGTTAACTGATTTCAGTGGCAAGCCCCGCAGGCTACCGCCACCCCCCAGCCCCCCGTGCCCAGATGATGGGGAGTCAGGCCACACAGGACAGCCTGGCCTGAGCAGTGTCACGGGCTGGGGAATCAGTCTGTGGCTGAGGGCAGAGGTGAAGATAAGCACCTCGGCCTGGGGGTGACCAAGCCGGGCACAGGGCAGCAGGGTGTCCAGGCTGGCCACTCCTGCCCTGAAACAGCCTCCCTGACTTGACTGGGTGTGTGGGGAAGACTAACACCTTGTGTGCACAAGAGAATATCCAGAATGCCTCAGAGAAGGGGCTACAAATGATGACCTGTGACCAAGTCTGGCCCATGGCTGATTACAGAAAGATTAGAACTCTGCGGCACCTGCAAGTGGCCTGAAATTCACATTTCAGGGACCATGAATGACACTGCCTAGGACACACCATCTCCAGCTGTCGCTCACGGTGGCTTATACACTGATGCTGCTGACGCTGTGACAGACTGAGTGACTCACAAGCTCTAAGACTTCACTGTTCCTCGGCAGAGAGGGCTGACTCTGTCTGAAAGCATCTTATCAAAACCAGGAGCCAGGCTCCTGGCTCCTCAGCTAACGGACGTGGCCCTGAGGTGGTTTTCCGCTGGTCAGCAATAGGTCAGCACAAACACCTCTACGCACGAAGTACCCCTACGCCATCACCACGACCTGATGCTGGTGGCTAGCTCGAGCATATTCTCTAAGTACCAAACGTAGTGTAAACAAGCCAGCACTGCGAAGCTTCGGGTTCGAGGCAATGGGACTGTTTTGATGCTGATACAGATTTCTGGAAAAGGCAGTGGATTGGGGCAAAGAACAGGATTTTTGAAACTGAGGCCACCTGAAATGACACTATGTTATATCTATAGCGTTTGCTTCTTCCAAGATGTAGAAGACGACACTGGGAGGCTGTTTCTTGCTTCTCCGCACGTGCCAGGGTCGGGGGGAGGCAGGAGGCCGACTACTCACCCGCACAGGCATAGGCATCTCTGCTGGTGAAAGGCTTCATACACTGGCCGCAGCTGACTGGGCCCACGGTGGGAATGGGGCTGAAAGTGTGCCCGTTGAGCGTCTTCTTGTCCTTCTCCTTCTCTTTAGAGTCTTTCTCCTTTTCTTTCATTTTATCTTTTTCCTTTTCCTTTTCCTTTTCCTTTTCCTGCCGAAGAGAAGAATCAGAGTTACCCGGACCCCAGGAGACCTTCCTTCCACCTCTGTACCCACGTGGCAGGTGTCGGCTACTGGCAAATGTTCTGGGTGTAAGTCAGGCGCACTCGTCCCGGACAGTTTTATTTTCTTTGGAATTGTGAGCAATCAGACTACATTAGAAAACTATGAAGACCGGGCAGGCTACTCATACCTATGTGCCTGACACTGGGAAGAGGCTTCTGGTGCTGGGGAGAAGGGTGTGGGGCAGCCGTGAACCCCCACAGTGAGCCAGGCACGGCCCACATAGGCGGCAGCAGGTGCTTCGGGCCAGTGGCCCGCAGGGAGTGGGATGGTGAATTCTGGGCCCAGCTGAGGGCCAGGAAAGCGGACAGGGCAGCGAGAGGAATTATCTGACGTTCCTCTGACGCCTCTCACCCGCCACAGACCCTGTGGTGCAGAGGCCTTTCTGGTATTTTCTCTCCTACTCTAGCCAGAATATCAACCACCCACATGCATGTTTTCAGCTTTCATTAACCAGACCTGCAGAAGCTCATGGCTACCACTGGGGCCCAACTTTCCAACTGGAGAGGTGGACCAAAGGCCTGAAACTTAAAGGAGCGACGATGAGCTCGACCTCTGGGCTAACCTACAGCAGGGGCGACCAAGCAGGTTGCGTCCCGCAGGTCCCCGGCAGCATTATCGGGCAGGGCCCTGGCTGGCCCACCAGGGCCAAATGGACACTTTCCTCGCTGACCAGCTGGACCACTGACTCCGGTTCACAGAGGCTAGAAGAACACAGTGGTTGCCACGGTCACCACCTTCTGGGCAGTGCTAGCCCCACGCGGCCGTCGCGGCGCCCAAGGGCCCTGTACCTCTGCGTACACTGCTGCCCCCCGTTCTGGGCTCTGAGGTGGGTGCGTGGGCAGCACTCCGCCCACTCGACAACCGAGAACAGACAATCAACCACAGCTCAAGCTGGGCACAGGCGCCACGTGCTGTCAGACAGCCCACACGTGTTCTCTCACGACCACCCAGTCAGATCAGGGCGAATGTTTATGGCGAGTGTGACTTCCAAGGCTCAGAGAGGGTCAGTGACATGGACCAGGGCCCACACCAACAGCTGCACGAGCCAGGATCAGATCCTAATCTTGCCAAGGGGAAGCTCGGCACAGCTGGCAGGCTGCTGACCCACACAAGCTCACGCAGCAGGTGAGTGAGAGCCCAGGGCCTCTGCCTCCCGCCCGCTACGCCGGAACGGCGACTCGGGTCCAGACTCCTGGAAAGCCCTTTGTTAACAGCACACGCAGAATAAAAACCCAAGGGCTGAACTGCTACGTTTTAGAAATTGATAAACGAGAAGAAAGGAGGAATACAAACTACTTCACTTACAAAACAGGAAACTGCTGAGAGAAAATGAGTAACGGCTACAGGATGAAGAACTCCAACAGAGACCAAAAGTGAAAACTGCGCCTTTTCCAATTCTTTTAACGAAATTTTGCTGAAAGCATCTTCAAGCATAATGTGTGAACTGAAAAGCATCTGACACTTTGCTCCAGAAAGCCGGAGCTTGCCCCGAGGGCCGCAGGAAGCCGTGTGCCCGACGCGCTTGCGTGGGCCCGCAGGCGGCACCTCGAGCCCGGCACCTCGAGCCCGGCATCTCGGCGCCCCAACGCGACGCCCAGGCCAGCACACGGCACTCGGCCTCGTCTGCGCAGTCGGAGCGCAGAGCTCGAGAAGCCGGTCTTACCTCGCCATGCTTCGCTCCTGCGAATCTCACTGTGATGAGAGGCACTTCGTGGAAGAGCCCCCACTTCACTGACATGGCGCGACCCCCACGCCGGGAAGCGTGCGCTCAGAGAAGGGGGCGCACATGCCGGCAAGGCCGCACACGGCAGCCGCCAGCTGCCTGAGAGAAACCGCCGAAAGAGGAAGCCAGAGGCTGGCTGCGAAAGGGGGGGCGGAGGGCTGAGCCCCAGTCTCCGCACAGCCGACTTAACCGTTTGCATGCTGCCGGGCAGGCTGCCTGTGACGCGGGACGCAGGCCGGGGGGCGCCCCACGCACAGGCCGAGGGGCCGCTCCTCAGACGGCTGGCGAGGAGGGCCGCCCTTCGTGAAGGAACACTTCTACTTGAAAACAGTCTGCATTTTATAAAAGCTGCAAGTTTTCTGAGAAAACGTTTCAGTGAAGTTACTGTGTCGACTGGGTGTTTTCTCCAGTCAGACTTTTCCCAGCTTAACCACCAGCAAAAATGCTGTAACTGTGGGTGGGGAAGACAGAAGTGAACAGTCTTGAAAGGGAAAGAACCAGGTAACAGCTGCACCAGGTATGACCAAGGAAAAGGATGTCCGCACTCTAGACCAGCCTTGGGGCCACCCGCCGGGGAAGCTCACAGAGCGCCACGGACACCGGCAACTCGAGCGGCTGCTGGCGCCGCAGAACTTGGGTCAGAGCAGAACGGAGTGGGCGCTGGCGCCTGACAGCGACTTAAGCCTTTGCAGGCGACTCCCTGTTTGAGGCTTCCTTGGACAGGCTGAGGGCACGGCGCTTCCTGCACAGCACAGAACTTGGGGTTGAATGCCATGACGAAGCTGTGGTCAGACGAGCAGGTGTGCGGAAATGGAACTCCCCACCAACGCCGACTTCAGGTGGCAGTAAGAAGCCAGCTAACGCGTTTCTAACCACCTGCAGTTTCCCACAAAGAGGAAACTCTTGGATATGATGGTTTGAAAAGGGTCACCTCCCTGTAACTCAAGCACAATGACTGTCAGGGTTTAAATTCTCTGGAACAAGTCAACTTCATAAGCCGGAAACAGTACTCTTTCCCGAAGACAGTGAGAGAGAAAAGCAGAAACTGCAATCTTCCTGTTCAACTTCCCATTCAGGCGATCCCCCTAAACACATCTCAATTACTTACTGATTCAGCCTGTCACTGATGAATCTCAAAATGACATGGAGAGGCTCGGCATTCAGTTTCTCAAAGACATTCCACACAGACATGTTCTTGTCAAGTTCTGCAATCTGTGTGTGTACACTCACCCAGAAATGTGAATAACTTGCTGCTGAGTGGATGACTTTTGGTTCTGTGAATTCAGTTTAACTGCTCATAGCCACAAGTTAACACACTGGCTGTCTATCTACCCAGGTTGATAACTGTAAACCACTTGACGTGAACGCATGTATCAAGCTTAGCCTGAGGAAGCAGGCTCCAAACCGCTGTCAGAGCCCCTGCTGTGACCCAGAGGCCGGCGGCAGTTTAACGGGTCGTCAGGAAATGCTCAGCTTCCCTGCACACAAATGGTTACGGGACAATGACTTGTTTAGATGGCCCCAGTGCATCTCTTCACACCATCTGAAAGACTTAACGTATCATTTTCAGTACTAACACCTATACTAACACTGAAGTTTTTAACATGGAGAAAGAAAAACATAAAAGGTAAGAAAGTAATAGGGAGCATCATCATGCTCAGAAAATCTACTGTTCATTTATTTAATTTGGCATTACTGAGAATAAAACTCTGAATGGCGAGCTCTGTGAGTATAAAAACAGGGTACTTAACAGAACTCAACACAAGTTGTTCACTGCTTCCCTATTTCTCAGTCTTTGGCTACACTGACAGAAACAAGGTAACTGCGCTGGAGGGTCTCAAACAATCTGAAGTAAGTTAGCAGAGGGTGACTCTTAAGGCTCTCAGTGTTCAGCCACCGGGGTACCCCAAGCACCCCATGGTGAGCGCGGTGTGGGCAGCAGGCTGACCATGCCCTGAGGCGCCCTCGCTGGGCAGTGCCCGGGGGCAGAGGCCGGGTCTGGAAGGGGCGCCGGTCCACTGCAAAGCGGGCATGGTGACAGTGGTGATCAGAGGGCAACAGGTCAACTGACAGTTTGCTCAGCGATGACAAGGCTGCTGGAACAAAAACTGCCTTCTTCCCCTGCTCTTTTCTTTTCCTCTCCAAGTAGCATCTCAGACCTTTGAGATAAGTTTACAAGATAGAGAAGTTACTGTGCAGCAGAGCCGGGCCTGGCACCAGTGTGTGCGTGAGGTGACGAGGCGGCACGCCTGGCTGCACCGGGTCCTGTCTCTCACTAAATGGTCCTGGGCCCAAGCTTACTTCTCTGGGCCTCGGTCTAGCCCACCGGCGGTGGGATGAGACTTCTCTAAGAGTCGGTTCCCCTCCGCCAGGCCTGACCCTGCTCACTCACATCTGTCTGGACCTGGTCACTGCCCTGCCCAAAAGCAGGTGACCGACCTACCTGCCTACCGTTTCCAACACCAGGTGGTGGAAGATTTCAGCTTAAATATGAAAATCAACCGAAACATTTTGAAATCATTCACCCAAATCCTGGCCTTTCTCAAGGTAAAGGTGAGGAGCTTGAGCTTGTTAGTAACCAGAGGAGACTGAGACAGGCGCCACCCAGCCAGGCTGGCTGGCTTACCTTGAGGAGGAGAGAGGCTCAGAAGCCGTGGCACCGACCTGTGGTGCCAGTCAGCGTGCTGCCCTTCCTGGCCTCATTTTTTTGAACAACACCAAGGCTAAGCATGAAGCCAGCACTTCAGGATGTGACTGTTCTGGCCTTGAGGTGCCAGGCTCTGTGCATCTTCTGATTGCTGCTCTGGACCACGCACTTCCTCTCCATCCCACCACTGCGGGCGCACAGATGGAGGGCTGGGGAATCCTTTTCCTAGCACCTGCTCAGGAGAAATGGGGGCAGATTTTGTGGAAAAATTCTGCATGGTGAGCTAAATTCTGCATTTGCCAAAAGAAACAGCTCTTATTCACAAACCTTAGTGAAACACACGGCCCTGCCTCAACCAGCCCGCTAACCAGGCCACGAAGCTGTGAGCATTGGCTTCGTGGCGGTGGGGGCGCTGCCTGGACCCCAAGGCTCGGCATTTTGTCCCCTACTTCACAGATGTAGTCAGGAGCACACGCACTGTGTGAACGCCGCTTGCGTGTTCCCTGAAGAGAGCTCCTTCGTTGTTAAGATTTCCATTTCTTTCCCTTTTTGTACTTATTTCTTTATCAGGTTGGAGTGGGTGAACAGCGTGTAATGGAAGTAGGGGGTAGAAAGACCCACTGAGGTACAGCCAAATCACATATGGCATAGCACTGGAACAGGTAGGGAAGTTAATTCCTTTTATTTCTCTTTAGAGCACAAAAAAGAATAGCTATCTCTAAGTGGGATTATTTTTAGATTTTGGAAATTCCTATAATTAGGGCATGAAAAAAAATGCCTCTAAATGAAAAACATTCATTTACCTCTCAGACACTAGAGACCACACTGCACTATGAGCCTAAGTTAGGAGTAGGCCTAAGAACCCACCTGGATTTGTCCTAGAAGTCCGTGATTTTCAGTGGGCTAATTAATTTGGCCGACTTCTACGGCATAAAATCCCGTAGCTGCATTACACCTACTTTACAGTGAGCTAACTGTGAAGCCAGAGAGATCTGAGTGTGGTCTTCTCCCGCGCTGGGGACACAGACCTGTCATCTAGCTGGGGACACTCCTGGAAAAGTGAGAGAACATCTACCCTGACAGGGGAGTGGAAGAGTCGAGTCGGAAGATGCTCTGGAAGCTCTTAGCAAACACCAGAACTTGGAGGGCGGCAATAGCCTCTTGGTGCTGTAATCTGTCTTCAGACACGAGGCTCTTCAGAGTAGCTCTGAATGGACGTCTAGTGACCCCAACACTTCACTGTGACAAGAGCCTACAACAACCAACTGAGGGCCACAGAAGGAACCCGCAACCACACTCACTCTGCTCTTCTTACTGCTCGACATTTTATTCTTGATGTAGCTGAACGTCCGGCTCACTTTTGTTCCGCTCTTCCCTTCAAAATCTTTCTTGGAGGGGCTTTGTGGCAGGAAGCTGTAGTTCTCTTCTGTTATACTAAATGAAAACGAGAATTTTTTTTTAAACACTAGAGATTTAAAAAAACCCAATGCTTTATACACAGTTCCCTATAATAGTCATTGTCACATTATTTTAGCTACAAGACAAAGTCACCTTAACACAGGACGGTTCTCAGTGACCTGGGGTTAGAGTCTCACTGCCAATCACTCACTCATTGTTTTATCTGACACTTCTTCTAAAACAGGTTTACGAACAACTTTTTTGCACCAAATTATGTGCGGGAAAAGCAGCCCACACACGTGAGGAAGGATGGACTTACTAATACAGGTCGCCAAACCAAGCAATGTGTGAATAAATGGGCAGCCCCCCCCTGCCCCCAGAAGCGGGGGCCCCACAGCTGCCTCCCTCAGCTGCCAGTCCAGAAGACACTGGCACTGTGGACTGGCAACCACGACAGGCAGCTGGAGGACAGAGTACAGCAGGCCGGGCTGGGCAGGTGGGGGCCTCTTGGGAGCTTCACAGAAATCCGGACAGACCTGTGTACGTGTTCAGGGAGCCCACTCCGAATCTAAGTCTACAGGGATGTCATGCTGGGACCTCAAGAAATCCCTCAGAGGATGCTGGGTGCTTGGACACACACTCCATTATGGGGAACGGAATGGACTTAGCGATTTCTCCTCGCTGTTTCAGAACATTATCTTACAAGTTCCCACAGGAAAGCAGCACTTGCCTCAAGGGCCTGTGGGAGTGGGCTGACAGAAGCAGAACCACAGTCTGTTACATAGAAAGAACTGTTTGTTTACAAATGAAGTAGCCTGTTACTAAGCTACAGGGGAAATGACATAAAAATACCGCCAACTCTAGAAAGGACAGAGGATAAGGGCGGGAAGCGTTCACACTACGAGTGCTCTGACCTCGGGCCCCACGGCCGGGAAAAGGGTGGCGACAAACGGAAGCGCCAGGCTGTCCCACTACGAGACTCCACCGCCCAACGTAAAGCCACGCGAGCTGGACAGGGCTCTCCACCGGCTGCTGGGGCCAGGTCACTCCGCGAACAGAGATGTGCACTGGTCACTAGGGCAGTGTAAAGGGCCACAGCAGGAAACTGCTGGAGATGTTAATTTAGAAAGATACAGCCGCCCTCTTCACAACCCATATTTAACTTTTCCTCAAAATTTACCATTTACGTAAGGAAGGACCCAGTGAGCCAATGAAGCAATTTCAATCTGTTTACTTATCAATTGCCACAAGGCATTCTGGATTTCCTTGATGCCCTTGGGAAAATGAGTAACAAGGAAAGCGGACAGTACCTCTCGGTCAGGTTAGCGCTGGTGCTGTGGAAAGGCCGTGAGTCTAGAAAACAAAAACAGCAGTGAAAGGTTAGAAGGCCGGGGCTGTACCCGGGTGGCAGATAAAATGTTTAAGATTTTCATTTTACGGCAAAGTGTAGAAGCGTTTGGAAGCCAGTGAGACGCCTTCGTCTCCCCCTGGGGGTTTTGGAGAAGCACAACCTGAGCTGGAAGCCCTCAAACCAGAACTGAAAAAGGGCAGCCACAGGGACTGAACTTCCCATGACAAATTTAGTCCGTGATCCAAGCCACAAACCTTGAACGGACATTTCCCGCAATGCCCAAATACACACGGAACCCTTCATTCTTGTTTTCTTATCACGCTGCTTTTCCCCAGCCACTTTCTGAGCTGGCATAGGAAAAACAGGAAATTAAAGGTCTCCTGCATGTGTCAGATTCGCTTCCCTAGGCTCCTACACTAGCATCTAGCGGACACGCGGCACCTGGTGCCCGCCTATCCTGGACATGACCACACGCAGGAACGCGCCCCGGGCTGCCCTCCAGGCCGGCCCTGTCACCCATCTGGGCGATTCGGCAGATAAAGCCAACGGTCAGCCCCTCCCCAGGGTGACATGAAACGTGAGCAGGCGATGCATTCTGCCCTGGCTGGCCGCTGGGCTGTAAAGCAAGCAGCGGTCTGTGACAACTGGCCAAGTGGCCGGGCAGGGAGCAGGGCACAGAAGGAGCCCCACGCCCGCTGCTCTCCCTCCCACGTGCTCACAGGGCTGCGCGGCTTCGGCAAGGGGGTGAGAGGAAGGCTTGCTCCCAGCGTTGGCCGGTCTCCGAGTCAGAAATCACGCACAAATCGCCCTCCTCACGGCTCCAAGGAGGCAGGGGCCGCCGCCCCCTATCAAGCATTGGGCTGAGGTGGACAAAACACACCCTTCCTCTTTGAGGTTGACTTCAGGGGTGTCTAAGATTAAAGTAAACCCGCCACTTGTGAGAGACTCGCAGATGCTGCTGGTGCAGACGCAGGGACACCGGCTTTGCGGCGACGGCAGGGCCTGGCCATTGTCCAGGTGGGGCGATGCGGGGAAATGAACTGACCACTGTGACTGCCCGTGCCTCAGAGTACCTGCTTGCTGGCCCCAAGATCATGGGTCTTTAGGAAAAGGCTGTTTATGTGAAAGAAGATGCCCTGTCAGAGGTTCAGTTTTAAATGGATCAGTTTCTAGGCACTCCGTGCACACACACGCAGACTCCGCGGCCTTGGGATGTAGCCGCAAGGCCAATGTAAGACATCTACCTGCCCACCTCGCTTTCTGTTCTTACACGCACTCCAGCACATTCTCATTCCTCTGTCCACAGTTACAGAGACTGAGCATAGGAGGCGAGGTCACGCAGACTCACTAGCACTATGGCCCAGGTATCTGGAGGCCGGCTCACCTCTGGGGCACGGCCTGTCACCTCTTGGGATATGGCAGGCCTCGTATATTTAAATGCCACAGTCGAGCTCTGTAGACCCACTCAGAGCCCCAGCCCAACGCCAGCTCTGCAGGTGCAAACGTGAGCTCCTGGCAAAGCGCGTGCAAGAAACCGGGTCAGCTCACACATTGGCAGCGAAGGTTCAAGAACCAGGCTGAGGACAAGAGCCACTTGCGAACAGGCCCTGTGACAGTGAAACGCACCAAGAGGTGTGACGGGAAGACGAAGCCCGTGGAGCAGCTGCCGAGGGTGAAGTCCCGACGGCGCAGCTCCTCTGCGGACATCAGCGCCTGTCCAGTGGTTTCTGTTTGGAGCCATCAGCAGGCGCAGTGAAAGGTTAAAAACAGCCTTGGAATGGGACTGTCTGTGGGACTGCATCGCTCTGTACCTGCGAGCACCGACTTCACTCCTCAGTGCTGCCAGGCAGCCATCTCGTCTCCGGGCAAGTGGAGACCCACCTGGCCCTCTCGGATGCAAGAAGGGGAAACACCACAAACACATTCCTTGGGGCAGACGCTCCAGAGTGCTTCTGTGCTGCTTTCCCCACTTGACCCAGGCAGCATCTGTGTTCTGACTCCTCAAAAACGAGCCGGCAAGACTCACTCACATGCTCCACCCCCGGGCAGCGAGCCCAAGACACGGCCTGGCCACCTTCGTGCCCTGCAGTTCTCAACAAAGCTGCTGCTGGTCTCCTCTCCTCTCCCGAAAACCAGACGACGCACCTGTCGTCACCCTCACTCTATTTCTTTGCATCCATGGATTTTTGAGACCAATTCCAGCTTAGAAATAATGCTGTGAGTTGTCTGCTTTTCTAATCTAGTCAACAAGACATTCCAAGCAACATCTCAGTGGACGTGCATTTCCAGAACACTCAAATGCTACCAGCTGGGCAGTGGTGGCAGAAGCTGCCTATCTGCTTACAGGGAGGAGGTGGAGCCCAGTCTGGAGAGTTGTGAGATAGGGCTGATTCTAGAAAGCACTCTGTTCCTGGACAGGCGTGCTTATAAGACACAGTCACTAAGGCTGAGGAGCAGGATTCTGGTTTCTCTAGCACTGAATAAAGTATGGTCAGAGAAAATGGGCCCTGCCCCATGAACTCACTCCCTGTAGCAACAGATGTCCATTAACTGCCAGGAGATCCGCCAAGAACATTAAAATTTACGTTTCAGCTGTACCCAGTTAGCAGCATGTTCTGCAGTTCAGGTAACCGGGGCAGTTTCCGAATCTGACCCAATTCACACAGCCTCTACATAGGCTGACTCCAAAGCACAGCTTAACATTCCTGCTGTCAAACACGGTAGGCTTAACAGTGACTGTGCAGAGTGTGGTGCTCACAATTCCAGCCAGACTGACAACAGGCAAGATGAGGCACGCGGGCGGCTAAGGGACCTGATCTGGAGTCGGAGATCGGGGCCTGAGGTGCGTGGAGCGCTGTCTGGCATCCTGGTGCTTGAAGGGCCCAGCGCCCGGCTTGGGTTTTTGTCATTTGTTCACCGGTCAGAATCTTAACATCTGCAGAGATGGATCATGTTTCCAGAGCAGAGCAAAACAGTGCAGCTGGGGAAATTAACCTTCCCAGACACCCACCCCCCGGGATGGCACCAAGGAGACAGTATCCCTGGAGTCGGTCAGCCCCCAGGCTCTATGGGACAGGTCTCTGCGGTACGGCCTCGCCATGCAGGCCCTGCCTGAGGGCAGGCGCGCACTCTGACCCCAGCCCTGCTCCCCGCAGCAGCCTGCGCGCCGAGCCCAGCACTTCTCAGCAGCAGAAGGGGAGCTCCCCGGCCTGCTCTGGCCTCGGGGGCCGTTGTTTTCGGGGAGCCTGCCCGCCACATTCTTTATGCTGTTTGGCGGGCAACTGAAGACACAGTGCAAAACCACCTTGGTTTTTCGAGAAATTGTGAAGGGTTTCACAGACGAGGCAAGAGAGTAAGTCACGAAACAGCGCGTTTGCACTGCTCCCCAGGGGGGCGCCTTCTGCCAGGGCCAGCACTGGGGGGTGCGGCCTCCTGCGCAGCCAGGGCAGCAGAGCACCTACTAAGGGCCCCTCCGCTGGGAGCTTAATCCTTCCACTGAGATCTCACACTGCAGCTACCTGCGGGGAAACGAAGAATCAGTATCTAGACAATGAAGCCAAAGGTGAGGTTCCGCAGAGAGCACGCCAGGCTCCACGTCAAGTCCACGCCCCGTGGCTCCGCCGGCGCTTCCCAAGGTGACCGTGCTGGCGCCTGCTGAGCTGACCATGAGCCCAGCCTGGTCTCGTCCTTTCCGATCCCGACAGGAAGTGCTCAGGAAGAAGAGCGCAGGAAGTCCACCCTGGCCCCAACCTGGGGAACTGTACTGTGGTAATGTGAGAGCGTGTCGCTGGGAGCACTCATCCGAATTACTGTCAACTATTTTAGAAAAGACTTTGAGGAATGTGGCGGAGAGACTGAGACAAACAAGTGTGTGACAAATTTGGGGATGCCCAGGTGGGGAATATATAATATAGCTCTTTGCACTATTTTTGTGATTATTTTTAAAGTTGAAGCAGTAGCAGGCAGAGTTTAGAAGTCAACAGCAGCAAGAAAAAATGATAGTAGAAGTTTTTAAAGTGTAACATTTAACTGGAAGAAAAAAAAAAAAAAAAGGCAATATACTCACTGTCCAAGCCGGGGTGGCTGATTGTCATTAATGAGATGGATTTTGTCAATGGAGAAGAGATGGCGGATGTACAGTAATTAAATGCCTGCTGTCTAGATCTGTGGTGTGTCTGTGAAATAAAAAAAGGGAAACGCATTCTGAGCGCACGTTCTCACATTCCCAGTCCGTTGAAGCCTCCTTTGCTGGCGCGAGGCGGGACCCAGACGCCGCAGGCAGGCAGAGACCAAGCAGCCCTGCGCTGAGCTGCCGCTCCGCCTCAAAGCAGCTCCTTGGTCTACCTCAGCCGCAAGCCTCTCTGTGAAATGCCTTAGAGCTTCCACCTTTACGGTGCTTTTGTGTCCTTTACAGACTAGTACATGCGTCACACATAGCTGAATATTCGCGTAAGCAGATAAAAGCAACTTCCCCGGAAATATCAAACTATACCTCATATTTTGAAAATGTGGCATCCCTCACAGATATACAGAAGGGCACCAGTAAAATTCTGATTTTAAAGAGCTGGGACTAGAAATACAAGTAAAAAGTGCTTGCAGGTGACAGGCAAAGCAGCAGTGCACCTGCACAGGTCTGCACCTCGTGTTTCCCCTTTGAGATTAGCCCGCTTCTAACAGAGACTGGGGGTGGCTGGGATCTGGGGATTCACCGCCCCTGGTAAATCCACAGCCGCTCCAGGGTCACGTGATCCTGCCACTGCCGATGTTCCCGCTGGACCCCAGAGGACAGTCACCAGCCTGGCAAGGGCTCTGGGGTGAGGGCTCCTTTCCCTCTGCTCTGCGAGAACCCGCTCCAGGTGCTAACTCACTTCAGCTATCATCAAGCGCTTCCTTTCACAGTGGCTGGAATCCGCCTCTCTCTGAATTGCCTATGTTTAAAGGAAGTAATGAACATCTGTTCCTAGCATGAATTCAGCTCAACTGTGCCAAAGACTTCTGATTATTTACAGCCTGCTCCATGTGTAACCATGGAGTCTGATGCAAACAGTTGCTATGTTTCAAATACAACTGTGAGGTCCAAAGAATGACCGTGGTGAAAGGCAAGGGATCTTCAACGGGAAGCTGGCCGCAGGCGACGCATCGAGATCCAAGACCTGAGCAGCTCAAGCACCCACTGTGAGGGCCGCAAAGGCTGGGAGTGACTGGCGTGCCAGCGTGGGTAAGCAAGGGGCGAAGATGGTGACGACTGTATCCAGAATGACTAAACCAGAAAGGCCACTGGAGAAAGACATCAGAGTAGTTAATTACCATCACTTGTTAGACATCGGCAATGCCTGGAAATGTCAGTCTCAGAAAAGTGTCACCTAAGCAATATTAAGCCAATTAAAATGTTGTCATTTCCTCATGGATACTCATCTACTTCAAGACATGGACAGTCAGCGAGACCAGTGCCAGGGATTCTGACGTCAGCACTTCGGGGCTTACAACCAGTGAGAGGTTTTCAGCAAGGCATGTGAGTGGCCCAAAGCCCTGCGAGGCTCCAGGGGGACCGAAGGTGCCCCTGGCTC